CATGATTATTAGGCAACTTGATCTATCCCTTCTCAAGCAAGAAATCAAAGAGCTTGTCTGATTTTGTGACCTCAAAGTCATAGCTCTCCTCGACTCCTCTTCCCTAAGGATTTGGCACCATTACTATCTTTTTGCCCCAATTCCATTCAGCCATAGCAACCTCTTCTTCTTCATAGCCGTCATCGACTAAGTATGGATTATAAGCTTCGGCCACTGTGGTATTCTTCTAGAATCGGGTATCTCTACATATACTCTGGAATTCGCTATTGAGCGCTGCCACTCGTTGAGCCAATTGACCCAAGTTGTCAAATTCTTGTCCCAGCAGTTTTTCTTTCCACATTGGCAGCATTTCTTGAATGGCTAAAGCGGCTAGCTGATCATCAGCCAAGTTTAATGAGAAGCATAAGTTCCTAGTCTCTTGAAACCTCTGTAGAAACTCAGTGCCCGATTCATTAGTCTTCTGCCTTATAGTTGTTAGATCAGTAATCTTCTTTTCTCCAGTCCCAGTATAAAAATATGTATGAAATTTCTTTTTCAGATCAGCCCAATTGGTAATGGAGTTGATCGGCAGTGATAAAAAGCAAGTGAAGGCTGGCCCAGATAGGGACAAGGAGAAGAAATGAACTCAATGGGCCTCCTCAACTAATGCCTCGCCCAATTGTGTAAGATACCGACTGACATGTTCTATTGTGCTTGTACTGTCTTGGCCAGTGAACTTAGCAAACTCTGGAAGCCTATAATTTGTAGGAAGAGCGACCAAATCATACCATTCTAGATATGGGTGTTTGTATGAAAAGGTCAGCCCTTTTGGCTTCAGACCGAACTGATCCTTCATCATCTCGGTCACCTTTAGCAACAACTCATAAGCATGTGAATTTGGATTTCTCTACACCTGCTGACCCATCTGTGAATTGAAATCCCATGTGCCTTGATACCCTGGATTCAGAATCATGTGAAGGGTGTTATAATCTGTGCCATAATGATACCCTTGTGGAATCTCTATCTGCTGGGTCCTTTACTAGTTTGCTGCTAGAAGTCTCTGATTATAGACATGAGGATCTATATCTCTACGGATCCTTTGAATTGATAGTGCTATTTTTTGAGCCAACGACGGTATGTGGCCTGATGTGCCAAAATGAATCATCTGGTTCTGACCTTGCCCCGCCGGCTGTTGCACATGCTGCACTGACGATCCAGGATTATACTATATCTGATTCGCAGTAGTACCTTGAGCTTGTTTAGATAAACTCTGAACTGCTTGGACATCATCATTACCAGCTGGTGTTGCTTCTTGATGCCTGGTACCAACTTGATTAGTCCCTTGGGTTGACAGATGTGGAATGTTGTAATAAGATGGCCCAACCTGACCAACTAGAAACCCATGAAACACCACTTTCATGGCGTTGTGGAATGTGTCCAAGAAAGCTTCATTATGGCTTGATATGGCATCACGAACAGATTTGTATATAGCTTTTGTGAAGAAACGTATGTCTTTAGCTTCATCTGCATCAGTCTGCCCGTGCAATAGAACTCTTGGTAGTGGATATTTCTAAACAATTGTGTTTTCACGTGTTTTGGTGTAGGACAACAAACACTTGTTCTGAAATTGTTCTATAGCTTTGCTGATGACACCTTTATCTCCATCAGGTAGGTCTTCGTAATGTACCATAAGGATGTCGTTGTTGTTGTGAACCGCCATGACAATTGTGGGGTCCCACCAGGCGTGCCAGAACGTGTGTCGGCACAAAATTTCATCTTGTGCCGAGGGCACACGAGCAAGCCAGAAGGGTCTGCTCGATGGAGCTATAGATCCGCCTGGCTTCAACGCAGGGGTGGTTGATCCTGCATACTCCTCCCGAGACGTGCCAGTCAATTTGACCCTGCAATTGACAAGGAGAGAAAGCTAATCAGTAATTATGGTGGAACATGCCGGTGTTGCCAGATAGTCCCGAATGTGCGGCTCTGAGAGCCGATGTGGAAGGAAATCGACTAAATAGTCAATTCCAACATACTCATAAGAATAAATCATTTAAAGCTCATGGGGTTGTGGAAGGAAAATTAGTTATCACTCAGGATGAATATCGTTATTCAGACAAATATTAGTCAATGGCAATAGGATGTCAAGAATAATCAGTTTATGCTAAGCCAATGACTGCAAGTAACCGAATCCCTTTTTATATAAAAGAAGCAGCTCATCATCATTTAACCATTTAATAAAGATAAATTCAATGAACATATTAGATCTCATCTATTGTTATGACCAGTGGGGCATGAGGCAGAATCATGCAGGCCGTAGAAACAACGATAAATTCGACGACCCTAACTTATTACTAATATCAGTGGGGCATGAGGCAAAATCATGAATGCCGTAATACAATAATAAGATCATGGGGCTAACACATCTTTCAACCTATCTTTATTTCAATGGTCTCATGACGTGAACTGCATATGTGAAAGCACTCGATATCGGCTAAATAGCCGATTCAGGCATAGCGCACAGTTAAGGTCATGCCCTATCAGGAACAGATCTAGCAAATGACGATCCCCACTCCACGGTGCTAACAGTGGGGTGTGAGGCAGAATCACACAGGCCATGATAACGGGCCATGGAATGGTTTTCGTTAGACAATAGATCTATTCAAGACCAGACATGCCTTAACTGCACACTATGCACGATCAAGATTGACATAAAATAGCCGATAAAACATAACTCATCATTTAAGATGCAGATTAGATCAGTTTAGATTAACAAATGATGGGTTAAACAGGATATAAAGCCGATTTAAATTAATCCCAATCAGGCGAAGTGATATTGCTGTAATTAAATAAATAATGAAAGAAATATGCAATATCGGTAACTTAATGAATCTATTCGAAGGACGCCACCCTTAGATAGAGCCGATAACTTGACCTTAATCTAGTTCGAGCAGTGGAGGTCGACCGGATCGATGCAGCCGTACTTGAACTAAACAAGAGTAAATAACTAGCTTATACTAGAGTCGTAGTGGAGGTCGACCGGATCGATGCAGCCGTACGAACAGAAGTATAAGCCATGATGGTACTTACAGACAAGCCGGAGGTCGGCCGGACCGATGCAGCCCTTCTCGCTGAAAAACTCGCCGAGATCTACTCTACTCCTACTCCTAAGGGGTGGCCAGAGCCAAAAAAAAGTAAGGAACTTGTACTTGATTGATTGTGTGTCCTCTTACAATGGCCGGGGTCCAATATTTATACCCAGAGCCTAAACATGAATCATACTCGAACATGACTTATTACAATCTTCGGTATAGAAGAAAACATTCCTAATTTAAGATAACTTGAACCCTAATCTTTCCCTTTTTGTAGAGTCTGATATGTAGTTTCCTGGCGCCAACCATAGCTCATCATCGCTATCTGCTGACGTCATCCAAAGAGATCCGATTTTAGAGTCATATCTGAATCAGCTGATATCGATCCTTATGCAATCGGTTCCTTGATTGGCACAATCTTGGAAGCCTTCGAATTCCCGCGTTCTTCTCCCAAATTTTGGTGTAGACACCATGGATCTAGATTCCACCCCTATCTATCAATATGGTGCACCCACAAGCGCAAGCCTATAGCCAAAAGAGTCTTCAAAGCCTATCCTAACACCTGGCTATGAACTGCGCCCATGTTTGATCAACATGGTTTAGGATAAACCCTTTTTGGGCGAAGATGATGAAAACCCTTATTCCCACCTAAATGAGTTTGAGTAGACCTGTGCATGCTTACGCATTGCAGGCATGTTAGACGAAAGCTTATGATGGAAGCTTTTTCCTTTCTCTTTGAGAAGAAAAGCTAAACGTTGGTACAATCTTACCATAGGGAGTAGACAATGAGATTGGGAAGCCCTATGTTCTAGCTTTTGCTAGCAATTCTTTCCCATCTCTAGGGTAGTTAGATTTCATTCAGAGGTTCTGTCTTTTAAACAAAAGAAAAAAGAATCTCTAGGCATGGCATGGGAACGCTTTAGTCTCTTATTAATACTGGCCCTGACCTTGCCATTCAAGACCGTATTCTTCTTCAACACTTCTATATGGGTCTTGATAGGAAAACCTCCTTAATACGGCCTCAGAAGGCTCGTTCTTGCATGTCTTGGCCAATTCGGGGAGAAGCATTCTTACAAAAATCTTAGAGAACATCTCTGAGGAAGTAGAAGAGAAATCGTTAGAGGAAGAATCCTCCATAGCTGAACCCGAATCTTTACCAGATCCATCACAAACTTCAGCTATCCCAAATCTTGAATTACCAGAAAAGGAGGAAACTTTGATTTTGGATTTCATGATTGAATTTGAGGATGAACTTTTTGATGAATATTGAAATACCTTGAATTACCATACCATGAGAAGACCCTAGGAGTCTAGGAAATCATTGCATGAAGAACCTCTAGATCCTTCTAAGGAAGCTTTCCTTAAAAAGACTACGAAAGAGCTAGTGTCTATTATAAACAATGAACGGTTAGAAGAATCAAAGCTTTCCTCTAATACAATATGCTTAGATTCACTTTCTATATCCTTGTTTGTAATATAATGTTTCTATATTGCTTCTAGTGTATAAGAAAACTTACATGATCTTTTGTTAAGTTCATATGATGTGTCTTCTAGTTATCAGCAACTCGACTTATTAGTACTGATAGCAATTCCATTAATAATCTCCATGAGAACATGCAAGTTCTTGACTTCTTGTTTAATTGAATGCACCATTACTTGTTCATAGATCTGAATGAGAGCTACTATGAACAAACACATGGGGTTTGTGTTCATGCCGATGTCAAAAATCCTAGTTATATTACTTGCAACTGTGTTCACTTGCATTACTTGTGTGCTGATGGTACAATAAAAGATAGCCATTTCTGTTGTGTTTAGTTATGTAAAATTTACAAAATGCCTATTTTTGTTTCTATAGGTGAAATAACAACCAGGTTACATTCACGTGGCTTTTGAACTGACAATGAACGTGATCAATTTGATTCAGATGTGGCAATGGATGAAAATAATCAAATAAATGTTGCAACACATAACACTGAAGGTGTTTTGCTAATCTGAAACCTCCTTCTTTACACCATTGTTTATTTTGCTGATTTAGCTAGGTACTGTTATGTTGATCTACATTTATTTCTTTATACGACATAATAACAAGTGCTACATTTAGCATGTCACAACCTGTTATACTAATCTAAAATTTGATTCTTGACACTATAGAGTACAAACATTACATTTAATTACCCTAGTTTTTCCCTAAATTAACTAGGTCCTGCTAAGAGCGGAAGAAAACTTACAATTAACAATCAACTTTGCAAGAGAAGAGCAAAAGGAAAGCATATTGATATAAAGTTCCCTAAAGAATTTGCAAAAGTGTGTGGAGAACATGCTAGTTTATTTAAAAAGTGAGATAACAGTTCTTGTAAGAACTGTACCACTCCAAGTGAAGAAGTGGAGGGACATGGATAAGGTTCATCCTGGTACTACTACATCTATTTGGAGAAAACTAAAGGTGACCTACTTTTCATATGAAATGAATATATTTGGCATGCATAGGTTATCATTGCATTTAGTGGCTGGTTATTACAATATATCTTTGTTGCACAGCAAAAGTTTCCTGAGCTTTCAGAAGAAGATAAAGATTGTGCCATGAGACAAGTAGAGAGTCAATATAATAATTGGCGTTACTGTCTACTTCAAACTTACCGAAACAAGCCAAGGCCACAACATGTCTCACCAGAAGGTTGGCAATGGTTGATAAGGAATTTGTGGACGGATGATGATTTTCAGGTACATACAACTCATATCCTAAATTACAGTGTTGCATAATTGTTAATGATACATTTATGCAATTTGTAAACCAGAAAAGGAGCAACCAAAACTCTATCAATAGAGGAAAGCAAGAGATGGGGTCCAAAGTAGGAACTAGATCAATTGCTCAAATCGCTTACGATCTGGTGAGGAAAAAAGTTACCAGGCAGATTTTTTTCTACTACACATCGTTCTGAATTAGTGAATATATGCTTTTGTTATTCCAATGCAGCGAGATCCAGAAACTGGTGAATGGCCTACTGCTATGCAAGTTTGGAGGGCTACATATCAGAAGGTTGATGGGACATGGCCCATTCCAACGGGTGAAGAAATAATAGTATGACCATATTACTTCCCTTTCTGATGGCATCTTTGGGTTTCACATTTGTCAATCTGTATCCTACCTTTTGAACTAGGATTAGGTGAAAGTGGTGTGTTTTTTGTATGGAAAAGTATGGTAGTAGAATTATGTATGCCTCTTTCATGGTTATTATCTCTGCAATGTAGTCTCTGTATTGTTCATTTAATGACTTGAAAAGTCTAGGCACTACGACATATTTGCAGTATCTCTAATCATGAACAATATTGTTTTATTAAGCTATTTGTAAATTTCATATATTATTTAATTTGTCTGCAATTTTCAATTATTAGATAACATGTTTGCAGATTTTTTTAAACAGTAGCAACTCTGAGAACATTTGGATGTTACACTATCCTATAGTTAATTTGTGCTCATACCTATGATTCATTACATGAATGCTTTTGCCTACTGTGTAGTATATGGGTTCTTAATTAGTTTGTTTTTCATGCTTTGCAGACCAAACTACATGAAGGTGCTGGGATACATCAAGAAAAGATTTCTTCTACGCCCGTGCCAATAGTTGAGGCACTTCGCACTAGTTCTTGGTCGAAAGCCAAACATTCATGTGGTGTTGGCATTCATGCTGTAAACCGAGTGGTTGAGGAAAGAATCAAATTGCAGGAGCAAATTGAGGCTTCTGAACAGCGTGAAGCTGCAGCTCGAGCACGTGCAGATGCTGCTGAGCAACGAGCACGAGCTTTGGAAGGCCAAGTTTCCATGATGGTCAAAACAAATGCACAACTACAAGAAGAGCAGCAATCCCAATGTGATGAGCTGAGTTCTTTGCGTGAAGCACAGAGTGGAGAAGTTGCTCGCCTAGTGAGAGAACAACTTGATCATCAAATGGCTGAATTAATTGCACGCATTGGTGTCAAGAGAGTTATTTTGAGGTTTGAGTGTTCTTAGTTTTATGTAACGCTTGAATGCCAAATTTGAATTATTGAAATAAATATTATTGGCGCAGATTTGAAATAATCATATTGCTATAATGTACATTTGTTGAGCTATTTTTGTCACTACAGCAAGGATAATAATGATAACTTGGTCGCCACAACATCTAATGTGTTTCACACAATTGAAACTTATCTTGTGACAAAACTTGTCCCGACTAATATTTTCCTACAAATGCTATGCTTTTTTTGATGAAACTATTGATACATTTTGTCTTGTTCTTCCTTGTGTTCTTCCTTGTGTAGGCAGGGATTAGCCTTCTTGGCGAGGTCAACCTGGTCCATGACACGATTGATAACCAGAGGAGCTATGGTGCTAAGATTGCAAGGTTCGATCTTCCGTCAGGTGGTGGTAACTATCATTGTGGTGGAGAATGACACACCGATCCGGCTTTAGATCGAAAGATCGAACCCTACAATCTTAGCACCATAGCTCCTCTGGTTATCAACCGAGTCATGGACCAAGTTGACCTCTCCAAGAAGGCTAATCCCTGCCTGCGCAATGAAGAACACAAGCAAGAACAAGAAAGAACACAACCAAATTGCAGATGAATGATTAATCTCTCAAAGTTGGGGTCTCACAAACCGATGAACGGTGAAACTATTCTTGACAGAATAATCTAAGTAAAACCCAAACCCTAATGGAGGGGTGGCGGCTGTTTATGAAGACTCTAGGGTCGTGCAAGACCCTTGGACGTGCCCCTAATGGGCCCAAACACGATACATGGTCCGACGGACCAAAAGACGGTGTCGCAGCACCCTGGCAGATTCTAGACGCTAACTTGTGACCACGATTCCCATTGATTCCGAACAGCTTTTGATGTGAGACCACTTGTATTGGCTTCCTTATCAAATTAGCTTTCCATCCATATGTGGATCGTCGAAAACAGAGTCCAGATGCGTCCTGGGGACTCAAACCGAATTAGCCTCGGGCCTCCTTCTTGACTTGGACACCCTTGCTGGCCTCCTACCCCTCCATACCATGCGACAAAGATGATCATATGCATGGGTGTCATGTCCTCATCAGTTTGCATCACAAATGAAAAATATTTGTGTTAACAAGTTACCACTTTTTCCCATACATATTGTGGTAAACAATTAGACACAATTATAATTTAATAGTGAGAACAAGCATTGACACGACAAACTCAAGTAATGGCAAAACTTCTGTCACTAATATGTAGTCTTTAGTGACCACAAAATTTGTCACTTTTACAATGGTAATCGTGACAATTATATTGCCATAGATTTTGTATAGTTGTGGCAACTATTATCACCACTAAAAATATTTTGAGTGGCATCATTTTTTGCCACTAATGCATATGTTTTTAACAGCGAATGAGCCACAAATGGTCCCGTTACTAGTGGCAGTACAATTTGTCACTAATGAGTATGGTCATTTGTGGGGAATACAAATTCAACACTAGAGTATCTGTGAGGCGAGTATTAGTGGTGACTAGTGACGATTTAAAAATTCACCACAAAGGCTGGTTTGTGGCCAAAAAATAAGCTTTTGTGATGAAAAGTTTTGCCACAAAAACCCTTTGCCCTTGTGGTGGTTCGTTGCAAAATTAATAAAGCTCCTTTCGATGCTCTTTATAATCCAGCTGTGGGTGTTAATATCATGTCTACATCTTTTGCTCACGATTTATTGAAACACATGCTATTAACCCCAATAACAAAGTTGTTGAAAAGTCTTTCAGGACACATTCTTCTAAGTTTGGGAATTTTGTATGTCCTCCCTATCTAGGTAAAAGGAACCAAGGTTTATCTGAGCTTCTATCTTTGATATAATGGATTTCGACCTGTTGATAGGACAACCAATTGCAAGAGTTATTCAAGGAGGACAAACGAAAGAGGTTAAGGTTGCATCTCTTGATTATTTGATTAAACCCAACCTTCAAGATGATGCTCAGTTCTTCATCGAGGAAGAAGAGCAAAATTCTACGGAGTCTGAACCTCTTGATGAATTGCTAGAACCACCTAAGCCCACCATTGAACTTAAACCCTTACATTCTGGTCTTAGATATGCTTTTCTCAATAATGATCAAGATTCTCCTGTGATCAGAAGTGATAAACACTCTCAGGAAGAATCCCTACGCTTGCTAGCTGTCTTGGAAAAGCATCGTTCTGCCTTTGGCTATTCACTCCAAGACCTTAAGGGAATTAGCCCTGCTATGTCGGTTCTCTACTGCCTCAAGGATTGCATCTCCACTGTTTATTCAAGTCTGTTTGATCCGAGGGCTCAGGATTGATGCTCCGGCCTATATATACCAGCCTGCACCCCCTCCAGGGCCTATGGAAACACTTTAATACTCTCATTAATACTGGCCCTGACCTTGCCATTCAAGACCCTATTCTTCTTCAACACTTCTATATGGGTCTTGATAGGAAAACCTTGAAGCTTCTTAATACGGCCTCAGGAGGCTCGTTCTTGCATGTCTCCGCCAATTTAGGGAGAAGCATTCTTACAAAAATCTTAGAGAACATCCCTGAGGAAGGAGAAGAGAAATAGTTAGAGGAAGATTCCCCCATAGCTGAACCCGAATCTTTACCAGACCCATCACCAACTTCAGCTATCCCAAATCCTGAACCACCGGAAAAGGAGGAAACTTCAATTTTGGATTTCATGATTGAATTCGAGGATGAACTTTTTGATGAATATGGAAACACCTCGAATTACCATACCATGAGGAGACCCTAGAAGTCTAGAAAATCATTGCATGAAGAACCACTAGATCCTTCTAAGGAAGCTTTCCTTAAAAAGACTACCAAAGAGCTAGTGTCTGTTATAAGCAATGAATGGTTAGAAGAATCAAAGCTTTCCTCTGATCCGATTCACTTAGATTCACCTTCTATATCCATTTGTTGCCAAATTAATAAAGCTTCTTTCGATGCTCTTTATAATCCAGTTGTGGGTGTTAATATCATGTCTACATGTTTTGCTCATGATTTATTGAAACACATGCTATTAACCCCAACAACAAAGTTGTTGAAAAGTCTTTCAGGACACATTCTCCTAAATTAGGGAATTTTGTATGTCCTCCCTATCTAGGTAAAAGGAACCAAGGTTCATCTGAGCTTCTATATGTTTGATATTATGGAGTTCGACCTATTGATAGGACAACCAATTGAAATAGTTATCTAAGGAGGACAAATGGGGAAGTTGAATATACGAATCTGGAAGGACTTTAAGCTTTCTATACCCATTACTCATTCTCTAAATGCTGAGAGTGAGCCAATTCCTGAGGAAGACCCAACGGAAGAGATTAATGTTGCATCTCTTGATTATTTGATTGAACCTAACCTTGAAGATGATGCTCAGATCTTCATCGAGGAAGAAGAGGAAAATTCTATGGAGTCTGAACCTCTTGATGAATTGCTAGAACCACCTAAGCCCACCATTGAACTTAAACCCCTGCATTTTGGTCTTAGATATGTTTTTCTCAATAATGATCAGGATTCTCCTGTGATCATAAGTAATAAACTCTCTCAGGAAGAATCCCTACACTTGCTAACTGTCTTAGAAAAGCATCATTCTGCCTTTGGCTATTCACTCCAAGACCTTAAGGGGATTAGCCCTGCTCTTTTCACCCATCGCATCCCTATAGATCCTAACTCTATACCTTCTAGGGAGCCCTAGCGTAGGCTAAATAATGCGATGAGAGAGGTTGTTAAGAAAGAGGTTTTGAAACTCTTACATGTCAGGATTATCTATCCTGTACCGCATAGTGAGTGGGTTAGCCCTGTTCAAGTTGTGCCTAAAAAGGGAGGCATGACTTTTGTTAAAAATGAAAAGAAGGAATTAATCCCCCAAAGAACCATCACTGGATGGTGGATGTGCATAGATTACCGAAAACTTAATAAGGCAACAAAGAAAGATCACTTTCCGTTCCCTTCATTGATGAAATATTGGAGCGACTAATGAATCACTCTTTCTTCTATTTCCTTGATGGGTATTCGGGTTATCACCAGATTCTGATCCATCCAGATGACCAAAGCAAAACCACCTTTACATGTCCATATGGAACTTATGCTTACCATAGAATGTCTTTTGGATTATGTAATGCTCCAGCTTCTTTTCAGAGACGCATAATGTCTATATTTTTTGATATGATTAAAGAAATTATGGAAGTTTTCATGGATGACTTTTCTGTTTATGAAAAAACTTTTGATGATTGTCTTGAAAATTTAGACAAGGTTTTGCAAAGATGTGAAGAAAAGCACTTAGTCCTTAATTGAGAAAAATGTCATTTCATGGTTAGAGAAGGAATAGTGCTTGGACATTTGGTGTCCAAACGAGGGATTGAGGTAGATAGAGCTAAATTTGAAGTAATTAAACACTTACCTCCTCCCATAAATATCAGAGGGATCTGCAGTTTCATTGGTCATGCTGGTTTTTATCGCCGCTTTATAAAAGATTTTTCACATATTGCAAGACCACTTACAGGTCTTTTGGCTAAGATATTCCCTTTAAATTTGATGATGAATGTTTGAAATCTTTTAACATTCTTAAGAAAGCACTCATCTCTACACTAATCATTCAACCCCCTAATTGGTCGCTACCTTTTGAAATTATGTGTGATGCTAGTGATTATATTGTTGGGGCAGTTTTGGGACACACAGGAGATAAAAAGCATCATGCAATTGCTTATGCTAGTAAAACTCTGACAGGACCTCAACTTAATTATGAAACAACTAAAAAAGAACTCTTGGCATTTGTTTTTGCTATTGATTAGTTTAGATCTTACTTAGTAGGAGCTAAGGTGATTGTTTATACTGATCATGCTGCTTTAAAATACCTACTCACTAAGAAAGATGCTAAGCCTCGATTGATAAGATGGATTTTGTTACTCCAAGAATTTGACTTAGAAATAAAAGATAAAAAGGGAGTATAAAATTCTATTGCCGATCACTTGTCCAGAATGCAGTTTGAGAATTCGCAGGAACTGCCCA